AAGAAGAAGAAGAAGACGCGTCACGCGCCGGCTGTCGAGGACGTGTTCAGGACAGTTCAGACAGTTCAGACATTGCAATACTGTTCAGTTTCTTGCACAGACCGATCGTTTCGTGTCTTTACACATCAATGTATCGTCACGAGCCGCAGGGTTTCATTTGGTTTTGTTTGTGTATGTTTTTTTTTACTCTCAAAGCCGTGATTCCCATTCACCTCCATTATAAGACTGACAGACTGCAACGGTTTGAGTTAAAAATCTTCGTTTGTGTTCTACTGAAGAAACAAAGTCACCTACATATTGGATGCCCTGGGGGTAAGCAGATAAACATCACATTTTCATTTTTGGGTGAACTATCCCTTTAATGCGCACGATGTCATCTCACAGTCTGAAGCGTCTGTCATAGCAAATCAACACATGCTGTTGTGAATAATTAAGCGAAGCATCTTCTCATAGGATAAGAACACTCAGTCTCATGAATAATTTAATAGACACCGACGCATCATAGATATACTATAGTCCTTTACCACGTCATAAATTGTGACGTGAACACGATGTAGATTTTAAACCCGGAAGATGAAAACAGTGCAAAAAAGCTTAAAATTAACAAGTTTTCTCCAACACTTAAAATGATCGGATGCTAACATTGTCTTCTATCATGTGCAACACAAACACCTCAGAAAAAGTAGTCTGGGGTTTCATAACCCTTTAAACAGCAGTACATCCACTGAACACACTGCACTTCAGTCCCTCATATTTTCGATTTCATTCCTGTCAAAAATTAAATATGGCACCACCCTGACTAAGGTCTACTGCATACTGCATACATGCATACTGTTTCACATACTATCTTTAAAAATAGTATGCACTATCAATACTACTGTTAAAGTAGTATTTTGTTCTGAACATAGGGATTTTCCACCGCTTCCTGGTGTGAGGTTGACATGAGTCTGCTGCCCTCTGTGGTCACTGTGGGAATTGCATACGGTACAGATGGCCTGAGGAATCAAGGGCTACATGCTCCATAGCACATGCTGCTATGCATACAGACACAGACATCAAGAGAACGATACCTAATATAATAATCAGCGCAACGAGGCATGGACTGATGGTGAGAAAGAGGAAAGCCCAATAGCCCGTTGTGAGTCATATTCTGTTTAACACGTGACACTGGACGAGTAGTACCCCATAATTGCACATTGACTCTGTTAGATGAACTTTGTACTAAAATACAGCAGAGTGGCCACATGAATATCTGTTAAGTTGGATTTTATGCTAATGCCTGTAATATAATTTCAAATAACATGTAATCTGCACCAGTAATGTGTAGCCTGCACTTGCATAACTGATGGGTCATTTATTTCTTCATATCTGCTTGTTTGTACGCATGTATATGCTTTTTAAATATTTGCAAATAGATATTAGTAGTGAGCAAGCTCTTCCCCGCCTCCCAGATAAGATCTATATATACAGTGCGGCTATCTTTACTAAGATTTTTTTGATTTTTTAAAACAAGACTGCATTGCACATCTTCAGGGACAGTCGTTCATGTTAAGTCTCTGGCATTTTTGCCACGTCGTTACATCGGACAATCAGAGCTGCCTCCAAAGGTGTGTTGTCCTCCAGTCAGGTGATCAGATTTCCTCAACGTAATTGGCCGGGTATAAGCCTGTCCGGCCGCTGTCCAGACGGCCTCTGCACCAGCCCTGGTCATCTTCCTCTTCGATCTTTGTTAATTCATCCCCTGTGAGTGATGCAGATTATAACTGACATATCTGCCATACGTAAAGTCAAAAAAAAAAGTGGTATATGGAGGACATTATGGAGGACTATTCATATTGATGATGCCAGCTGTTGTGATGACCTAACATCATTTATTTTGCTTTGCACTCTACCTGCTTTGAAGCTTAGCTCATCCTGCTCTTGCCCTTCATAGTCATAGAGCGCTCGCACTCGCACTCCTCCTCTGCTGACCGCGTCATCCTCGAAAGAGTTCGCGCCGCCATTCGTCTCGTTCCCCGAGTACCCAGTGGGCTGCTCGTCATCGGACCATTCTGTGGAGTACGCCTGGTTCTTTTCATAGCTGCTCACACTAGTCAAAGACAGGGGACACATGCTGTTAACACGGAAGAACAGCAAACGATTACACCTTAGTTTGTGCGCTTGTAAAGCTTCATATTAGAACCAGTTTTACAGCCAGATGCCAACAGAACCTTTTAAATATTGCCTCTTGCTATTCAGAAAATCACCTGCAGTATGTGCATCATATTTCAGTCAATCAGTCAATCAATCAATCAATCAATCAATCAATCAATCAATCAATTAATCACTCAATCAATCAATTAATCACCAAGCAGTCAATAATGCATGCTCTGGGGCCGAATGATATTGAGTAGTCACAATATACATTCATGATGATTTCACTGGAGATGTAAAATTAAGCAATACTTTGAACACTACAGTCATTTTTAGGTGATGCTTAGTTTGTCCATTAAGTCTTTTCGGATTAAGAGTCCAGTGTAACCCCTGCCAATGTTAAAAAATATTAATTAATTGATTGATTGTTATTTAATTACCACAGGGTGTGCATAAAATATGTGCCAAAATTACAATTAGAAAACGGAGAGTTCCGGTGCTTGATTCTGATTGGCTGAGCCACGTTCAAAGCTGTTGTAACTTACACTACAAACACACACCTTTGTTTACTTCTGTGTGTTGCTCGGCAACCACTTTGTTGGAACCAAAACCATTTCTGGGGAACTACATTGTTTGGTGGAAGAATACTGTTTTTATTAATATCATTACACTTTATTTATGTTTTATTCTGTGAAACCTTACTACATATATGGAATAACCGTTTTATAAAAGCAATAAGCCCCGTGAAGCCGTGGTTTACAGTGAATTTATAACAGCTAAGGGGGTTTTAGGCACTCCGCTTCGCGTCTAACAACGCCCCTTAGCTGTTATAAATTAACTGTAAACCACGGCTTCCTGGGGCTTATTGCTTTAATAAAATTAAATGGTTTTATTTTAATTGTCATGTTTTTTAATGCATCCACCCAGTCAAATTAAAAGTCCTGGAAATGTTGGAATTGATTCCCCTGTTTGAAGGAAAAAAAGACTTTTAAGCCATTTCAGTACCATTACAGAAGTAGTGAGATTGTCGGTGCATATAGCATCGTGGCAGTGTGCTGACATGTAGTGCCGTTGCGCTTCGGGTGTCCCGAGTTCGAGTCCCGACTCGTGAACCTTTCCCGAACTCTCTCCTAGTTAGCTTCTTGTTAATTACGATCGCTATGACCGTTTTTTCAATACTTTTAACAATTTTCCTAAACTTTTAAAACAATTAGTGCAACATCCATCTGTGTAGGCTATACAATTAACAAATTTATTTTTTGCTTTGACACAAAATTTATTCAGTTAACACAAATTTAAAATGCTTGAACGTCTCTTAGACACAAGCTCAACCAAGACCAAAACAATGGATTTTTACTTCCAAATTTACAAATGCTGGACTAAATGTTCCTGTTGGAAGAGAACACGTGTTAGTGTTTAGGAATAATTATTTGATTTTGAGACATTGTTTTGGTAGCGTATTGTGTTAATGTATTATTGGATTTTGAAAATTAGTGTTGGAGTTTTGTTTACAATGTGTGATTTTGAGCATGAAACTAACTGTTTTGCCAATTGTGTGTTGTAGGTGTGTTGGTGCGTTAAGAGTTTAGGAAAGTTGTTAAAAGTATTGAAGAAACTGTCATAGCAATCGTAAAAAACTGTAACTGTCCTATCCAAATAAAGGCAAAAAACACCAAAAAATAAATCTTAAAAAATAAATAAATAAATAAAAAACATAGTACTGAGTACTTATCAAAGTACTGATAATGATTATTGTGCAACAACTGAAAATCCTGAGATATATATTTTATAACACTCAGTCCCAAGGACATCTACATCTTTCTATTCTTTAAAGAACCATAGAGTCAACTCAAGAACCCTATACAGGCAGAAATAACTCTTGATAAGAGGAGAGTTCTCTGTTGGGCTTCAAAAAAAATGTTTTTTAAAGAGTGAAGACAGCAATCAACCTCTAAAAAGAGAAAAGCGTAGTGCGCCGCAGATCAAAGAAAGGACACTGGGAGCGAATGGGGAAGGCAGAGATGATGTCTGACCTGCCGCGGTCTCCTGCTTGACCTGCATGCTCTGTGCTCGGAGTAGCAGGAGCGACTCCATCTGGCTTCTTCTTTTCTCTCTTGGCAACAGCATTGGTGGCTTCTGGATTATATTCCTGAGAAGAACAGATTCAGAAATATATAGTTTGGATGATAGCTTGGGGGGAAAAAAAAGAAAATTAATTTAAAACTGTTTTAAACAAGGTTTAAGAAAAACAACTTCTAGAGGGAATCATTTATACAATTAACCCTTTGAATTAACTGGGATTTGAAAGCTTGTGACAACTAGCCCTGGGTTCCCTAACCTTTTTAACAAACCCAGAAACCTGAAAAGGGCACAAGACTGTTAAAACCTGTTAAATGTTTATTTGTTCATTAAAAGCTGTGTACCTCCAACTGGGGCCAGTTCATATGCATGCCAGGACCGTGATTATTACTGAACCACTTGAGATCCTCTTGTGTGTTGGCAGCCAGAATGGTGCGTTCAAACTCACGGTACACTGACGCATAGCTAGAACATGGAAAAACACAGACTCAGCTGTAAGCTCTGACAAATACAGCTGAACTAGACCAAAAGTGCTTTCACTCCAGCGAACTGTTAATCACCTCGACCGGATCATGACTCAAAAATCAATCAATTAATTGAAGACTCAAAAGAATGATATCTTCATGTCCTATGCATATCTCAAGCACACACTAATATCTGTGTGAATCAGTGCAGACACACAGGTTCTGGGGTTTACACTGACTTTTGGTTCTCGGTGAGGTTTAGGTGTCGTTTGATGTCCAGGAGAACCTCTTTGAGGAAGGTCAGTCGTTTGACCTCGTGCTGCTGGCATTGGTCAAACACCTGCTCCATGCTCTCCATGTACTGCGGTGTGCACTTCGACAATTCATCCAGAGACTTCTCGTACTTCTCCTTCGCCTGCAGCACAAACACACACATATAACCCATATATGTGATGTGACCCTGGACAAATCTTAAGTGATCATTTTTTAAAACTGAGATCATCTGAAAGCTGTTTGCTTTGAAAAGATGACCAAAGATTTTTGGCATAAAAGAAAATCGATAATTTTGACCCATGCAATGTATTTTTGGCTATTGCTACAAATACACCCCAGCGACTTAAGACTGCATTTGTGTTCCAGGGACACATATTACAAAAACTACAACGCTAAGTTGCTCGAAAGTAGCTCTAAATATGCCATTTCTATGCTTACAAGCCTCATCAAAATCTATTTAAAAAAGTCTTCATGTATCAACACATTAATAATTCAAGACCATTATATTTCCGACTTTCATCCTCCAGGACTGTAATGTAATAATTCAACAGAGTAATGTGTTCAATAGAGGGAGAGAGTGATTGTTATATCTTTAAATGTAATAACACTTCACATAAAAGTCCTTGCTTGTTTTAATGGCTCATAGTTGTAAGAGCGATATAAGATACTAAGACAAAATATATTACCTAACATGGCCAAAAACTGACTGAATATTTCCTCTTCATAGAATGGTTGTATAAAAGGAATATTACAATATCTGCAGGCTGTAACCTGGGGTTGAATCACATTCAGTATTCAACCCAACACCGATGAGCAACATGGAAAAGTCAAGTATACTTTGAGTGAATAGTACTATATAGTGCCATATTTTTTTCTTAATTTCTCGCACCTTCTGCACGTCCTGTTTGCATTTCTCTGTCTTCTCGTGGAGTTTCTTCTGCTGGTCAGGAGTGACAGATGCATCTGCCTCACGGGCTGCAGCCAGTTTCTCCTCTTTACATGCCATGTGATAGTTCTTCTTCGCCGTCTCCATCTGCAGCCAGAAATGCCACACTTTAAACTAAACGCCATACTGCAACTGAATGGATGAAGCTTAGAGAATGGTTAAGTTAGACTGACTGAAATTGTGAGACGAGTTGAGGACAGTACAATGCTCTTCCAGGCTTTAAATGCAAAAATGATGTATAAATGTATCATAAAAGTAGACCATCTGAATCTATGCGCTATATACCAAATCTTCTAAAAACAACACATAACAGTTTTGTGTGAGGAACATCTAGCCTATAGCTCTCCATTACATGTTTATGGTCAAGTTGTAATGTTTGAGAAAAAAAAAAGTGATTTTGAGTTTAATCTTTTCAATTAATCAGTTGATCCAGTTCACAACACTGGTCTGGATGATTTGTTCACAAATAATCTAAATGTCATAACTAGATTCAATAATCCAGCTGCAGCAGTTAATAGCTCGATGAGGAGGAAGATGATCAGTGAATTATTACAATTGAAATTTGGGTTAGTGAATAATGAAATTTGAGTCTTTCTCATACACATCTATCACATATGACTTCAGAAGACATGGAATATAGTGAATATGGTATAGTGCTGATTTGTGCTTTTTCTTTTAAGCTTTTCCTTTCGAGTTTTATTAGTTCTCCTTTATTTCCACAGAAGAGAGAACGTCATATGGGGTTGGAAAGAGTGAGTAAATAATGACAGATCATGTTTGAGTACTATTGCTATAACCATCTTGTAAGCATAACACATCAGCTTGTATTTCAGAATGCATGCATATTTAACATGCATTTAAATTATTTATATGCATAATGTATATGCATTTTAATGAAATAATGCCATTAAGGTATGTTAATAAAGCAATAAGCCCCAAGAAGCCGTGGTTTACAGTAAATTTATAACAGTGAAGCAGAGTGCCTAAAGCCCCCTTAGCTGTTATAAATTCACTGTAAACCACGGCTTCTTGGGGCTTATTGCTTTTATAAAATAGTTATTCCATATAAGAAATTAGGTTTCACAAAATAAAACAGAGCAAATCAAGTGTAATTATATAAAATAAAAACAGTATTCTTCCACCAAACAATGTAGTTCCTCAGAAACAGTTGTGGTTCCAACAAAGTGGTTGCCGAGCAACACACAGAAGTAAACAAAGGTGTGTGTTTGTAGAGTAATTTACAACAGCTTCGAACGTGGCTCAGCCAATCAGAATCAAGGACCGGAACTCTCCGTTTTATAACACAGAATTTACATCATTAAAATCGTATTATTTGTACCTCTTTGAGTTTCTTCGCCCAGGGTTTCTGGGCTTTCTTGAAGCCCTCTTCTGCCTCTTTGGTTTCCTTGAAGCCACCCATCATCTGTCTGTGGTACGAGTCTTTCTGCCAGTTCTTCACCATCTCGATGTCCTCGTTCATCAGACCGTTCTTCACCTCCTGATGAAGTTCACTCACCTTATCGGCCTCTGTCATCATGGCAATCCAGGCCCGCTCCACAGAGCCATACTGAGGCCCTGGCCACACAAACACACGCATACAAACGCACAGAAGATACCGAGACGACTGCTTTATTGGCACGATTTACGCCAGTTGGCTTTTTTCCCATAACAGTTCTGGAAATGTAAAATAGCTGCTTCAAAAATCTTGAGAGGATGAAGAAAGAAGCTGTAGATTTCTCTGACTGACCTTTCTCGATCAGTTGCCTCCACCTTTTGGACCATTCGGTGAGCTGCTGGCTGTAGGACTTCTCGATCTTGGCCCGTTCCTGAAGGCAGTTCATAAGATCATTGCAGAGTCGATGGCCGTCGTCAATTCTCTTGACAGCACGCTTATAATTTCCCACCTAAGCGAAGTGGAAGAAATCACATCACACATCACATCATATTACGTATAACTTGATATGCAATTCTGCTCAAAGGTTTACATAACCCATGTAGAATCTGCAAGATGATACTCTGAAAATTGCATTTAGTACTACTGTGTTGAAGCTATTTGACAGAACAGATACGTGCATACATTCACTTGATGAAAACTACAGTAAACAGTAGTCTGTGAAATATTATTACAACTTAACATAACAGTTTTCTATGTTTTCAAATGTAATTTATTTCTGTGATCAAAGCTGAATTTTCAGCATCATTACTCCAGTCTTCAGTGTCGCATGATCTTCAGAAATCATAATAATATACTGTTTTGCCGCACAAGAAAAATGTAGGCTATTATTATTATCAATGTTGAAAACAGTTGTGTTGCTGAATATTTTTGTGGAAACTGTGATAGATATTTTCAGTATTCTTAGAAAGTTCAGAAGAACAGCATTTATTTGAAATAGAAATCTTCTGTAACATAATACATGTTTTTACTATGACTTTTGATCAGTTTGCCCTTTCTGGGAGAAAAAAAACCCTGACCCCAAACTTGAACAGTAGTATATACATATATTTCACAAGACAAAATAATAACTGAATATAATATAATATAATATAATATAATATAATATAATATAACCCCAAACTACTTGTGGTTATTCATTTAGGAAGACCATTTAGTGTTCCCTTCTCTCTGGTGCCTGCAGGTGGCATAAGAAAGCGGAGAGGAATGAGTCCGTGTGATAAGAGGGGGAAGGGACTCATTCTTGTGCATGTGAAGTTATGCAA